GATGTGCTCATTATCTCTACCCTCCCTTTTTCTTTTTTTTAGAGAAGGCTCACTCTGTTGCCCAGGCTGGAGTGCAATGGCATGTTGGTAGCCCACCGCAGCCTTAAACTCCTGGGCTCAAGTGATCCTCCTGCCTCAGCCTCCCAAGTACTGGGGACTACTGATGTACACGATCATGCCCAGCTAATTTTTAAACTTTTTGTAGAGCCAGGGGTCTTCCTATGTCACTCAGGCTGGTCTCAAACTCCCAGATTCAAGGGATCCTCCTTGCCTCATCCTCTGTAGCAGCTGGGATTACAGGCATAGCCACTGCACCCGGCTATCCCTGCTCACTCCTACCTTTTTTTTTTTTAAGTTCAGAGACAGGATTTCTCCATGTTGCTCAGGTTGGTGTGGAATTCCTGAGCTCAAGCGATCTGTCCCCCTCGGCCTCCCAAAGTACTGGGATTACAGGTGTGAGCCACCACAGCTGGCCTCTCCCTACCCTTTTAATTTCTGATAGAAGCTGGTTTTCTCTTTATGACAAACACGATGAAGGACTCCTTGCCATCTTACCATCTTTCTCTGCCAAGAACGGGCACAGCACATGGGCCGTCACTGACTTCTAGCCAAATCATTTCTCCTCTGGTTAGAGGGCATGCAGGTGGTGGTTTTATGGGGAAAGGTGACAGTAATGGCCCAATAAGGCAAGCGCTTGGGAGCAATGATACAATCTCCTAACAGAAAGGACTATTCTCTTGCCTCACATGTGTGAGCAAGTGCATTATCTGTAAAGTTGGACTTTTTCTCTTCATGGACAGAGTTGTTGGACTTCTATGAAAGCATTTTAATTAAAAACCTATGGAGTTTGAGTTTTCCCCATATTATACACAGTTTTGGGTCTTTTCACATGAGGTCAGACAAGGCATGCTGGTTTTCCAGTTGGGGGTGGTGCAGCTTAGTAATGGCTCCCCAAAAGTCCAACTCACATTCCCCAGGAACTGTGAATATGTTACCTTATATGGCAACATATAAGGTAACTCTGCAGATGTGAATAAATTAAGGACTTTGAGACGGGGAGATTATCTGGTGTAGCCCAGGGGGGCCCAGTGTAATCACAGAGGTCCTTATAAGAGGGAGGTAGGAGGTCAGAAAAAGGAGAAGGGCAGGTAGAGATGGAAGCAGACAGTGGAGTGATGCCATTCATTCATTGATGAATGCCGCAGCCTCTAGAAACTGAAAAAGGCAAAGAAGCAGGCTCTCCCTGGGCCTCCAAAAGGAACACAACTCTATGATATTTTGATGCTCATTTTCTGATATCCAGACTGTTAAGAGAATAAATTGATGGTGTTGTCAATTGCTTTGTTTGTGGTAATTTGTTATAGCAGCTATAGAAAGCTAATACACTGGTCTTGGATTAAGAAAGGAGGGCCCAGGTGGTGAGCCTGAGAAGGGCCAAGGATGGTGGCTTGTTTGTATTTGTGCTCTCCACAAAGGGCCCTTCAGAAACACGACACAGATGTAACCTAGGATTTAAGCAGAAGAGAAAGTGCTTGGGTTTAGGGCTGGGCCAGAGAGTAGAATTTCTAACATAAGCTCACAAATGAGCTCAGGATGGACTGTTCAAAATGCTTTAGAGCAGTATAGATGCTACCAGGTCAGATCTGTGAAACAGAACATTCCACAAAGATGGCAATGATCTGTGTCTACACCATCAAATACGGTAGCCACCAGGCATGTGTGGCTATCAGGAGCTTGAAATATGGCTGGTAGGACTGGTGCACTGAATTTTTAATTTAACTTAAGTGGAAATTCTTTAAATAGCCACATGTGACTTGTGACCGTCACATTGGACAGTGCAATTCTAGATCAGCACTAAGAGAAATGTAATGTAAAACACATATGCAACATTAAATTTTCCAATAGCTACATAAAAGAAAAAGGAAAAGGAAATAAGTGAAATTAGTTTAGTAATGTATTTTGTTTAACCCAGTTATTTAAAATATTACCATTTCAGCATAGAACCAATTTAAAAAGTCTTAATGAGATATTTACATTTTTTTTTCATACTTTGCACCAAGTCTTCAAAATCCGGTGTGTATTCTGTACATTTTACTTTGGACTGGCCATGCTCCTAGTACTTAATGGATGCAGGGGCCAGTAACTACTGTCTGGATGGTGCCAACTATTTAGTCACTGATGAGAAAGCTGGGCCTAGCAGGGGAAATGAGGCTTTCAGCGGCATTCCTTCTGCAAGGCCTGTTTGTCTGTTGTCCCTCCCACTCTGAGAGATACATAACTTCCAGCAGCAAAGCCGAAAGAATCTAAGTTTTTTTGTTCCACTTACCAACCAATTCCAAAATTTTGTGGACAAATAATGCAACACTCAAAATACAACTTATAAATTGGTGGGCTGATTAGACTCCTAGAAATCTAATTGGCTCCACTATTGGTCTGCTGCCCTCTCTACAAACTTACCTACACCTGAACTCATTCTGCTCTGCTTTCTCTCCTACAATTGTGGGAGTAATTCTCATGCTTCTCTCAAAGGCAGGAGGGGATGTTAACGGACTTCCTTTCCATCTTCTTCGACCCTTCATGTCTTCAGTTACTCCCTCTTCTGCATCTTCAATCTCTCTTTCTACCAGATTATCCCCTTGGAACAACAAATATGGTACAGTATCTCCCATCCTGAACAAAGAAACAAACCGCTTTTAATATCACACTCTCCTTCAGTTATCTTTTTTTTTCTTTTGCTTCCTCTTATAGCAAAACGCTTACTTCCTCACCTCCTTATCTCTCTTCAGTCCACCCCTTCCAGGCATCAGTATTCACCTCCTCAGTACTCTTTTATCAAGGTCACCAAGTGACCTCCATGTTGCCAAATCCACTGCACAGTTCTGTTCTCATCTAACTCAGACTCTCAGCAGCAGCATTCAGCACGGTTGGTGATACCCTCCTGTTTTTAAAACATTAATCTCCTGGCTTCCTCCATCTCTCACTCTCTGGCTACCCTCCACTCCACCGACCATTTCTTCTTAGTCTCCTTGGCTGGCTTCTCCTCAACCCGTGCTGAATGCTGCTGCTGAGAGTCTGAATGTTGGAGGCCCTCAGGAGGTCCTGTCCTCTCCTCTCCTCTGTTGAAGAATTCTATCTCCTTGGGATGAGGAGGGCGTATCATCCTGTCCCATGGCTTAATCACCACATGTTAATGACTCCAATATTCATAGCTCCATTCCTACGTTTTCCCTAAAATTCCTGACTTGTATAGCCAACTGCTTCCAAAGATTCTTATTAACCATTGCCCAGAAGTAGAGCTCTTTAATCATCACACACACACAGACACACACACACACACACACACACACACTCTTCCTCACCATGTTCCCCTAATCTCAATAAATGGTACCCCCATCTACCCAGATGCTCAAACCAAAACCCTTCCTGGCCCCACTCTCTATATTCACTCATTAGAGGGTGCTGTCTCCCAGCACAGCCGTGATCTCATTCATGTTCTCGACCTCCACAACCACCACCCTTCACCAATTCATCATTTACCTTGGCCACAGAAGAGCCTTCACACTTGGACTCTTCTCTGCATTCTCTACACAGCAGAATGTCTCTCCAAAACATAAGTTAGCTATTTTTACATAACTTTTAACAGCTTCTCCACTTCCTCTGGAATGAAATCTGAACTCCCTACCATTTCCTGCAGGTCCTGAAATATCTGTCACCCCTCAATCTTTCCAAGCTCTTCTCAACACAGTACCTCTTGTTCACTGTGCTTCAGCACTCAACACAGTACTTCTTGTTCACTGTGCTTCAGCACTCAACACAGTACCTCTTGTTCACTGTGCTTCAGGAGACCCATCTCCCTCTGTTCTTCCACTTTCCTAAACTCTTTTCCACATCAAGTCCTCTGTCCTTATTTTGTTATTCTGAGATGATCTTCCCCCAGCTCTTTAAATGCTTGGTTCATTCTGCTCCTTCAGGACTGGGCTCAAATAGTATCTCCTCAGCGACACCTCCATGACCTGCCACCCTGTGGAACACGACACCTCCCAGTTTCTGGCATTAGCAAATATTCATAGAGTGCTTCTCAGGCATTGTTATTAGTGCTTTTTATTGATTAACTCTTTAAATTTCCTACGACCCTAGGAGGTAGGTACTGTTATTGTCATTATCTTACCCATCTTGAATAAAAAAAGGAAACTGAGCCCAGAGATAACGATTGTCCAGGGTCAAATAATCTCGGGACTGAACCCTGGGCATCCTGGCTCCAGGCCGGCCCCTTCCCCACCACAGCCTCCTGCCTCTCTCATATTACTTGTGTCTCCTTCTAGCACTTGTTACAATCTGGATATTGTCCTGTTTAGTTATTTCTGTATCATCATTCTCCTCATTAGAATATGCATTCTATTTTCATACTGCTATGAAGAAATACCCAAGTCTGGGTAATTTATAAAGAAGAAGAGTTTTCTTTACCTACATGGCTTGGGAGGCCTCACAATCATGGTGGAAGGCAAAGGAGGAGCAAAGGCACGTCTTACACAGCAGCAGGCAAAGGAGCGTGTGCAGGGGAACTGCCCTTTATAAAACCAGCAGATCTCATGAGACTTATTCACTATCACGAGAACAGCACAGGAAAAATCTGCCCCCATGATTCAATTATCTCCCACTGGGTCCCTCCCATGACACACGGGAATTATGGGAACTGCAATTCAAGATGAGATTTGGGTGGGGACATAGCCAAACCATAACAGAATACAAGCAACATGTGGACAGAGATTTTTTTTTTCATCCCAGGATCCCCAGGGCCTGCCACATGGTAGGTGCCTAATCAGTATTTGTGGCATAAATGAATGGTAGGTGTAGGTCAGGAAATGAAAACATTTCTAGCAATAGCTGCTCTTATTTTGGTGCCAACAACTGTCGCACATCTATGTGACCACAGACCCTATGAATTAATGATTCTTTTAAATGATTGAATAACATTATCCATGCTTTATGTATTTTTTCAGAGCAGATTTACTATGCTGGCCCTGTCAATAATCCTGGAATTGAAATTCCCCAGGTAAGATATTACTTAATTCTTGTATGAAATACTTTGTTTCTTGAAGAAGGCGAGAAGGAGGAGAGGAAGGAGGAGAAATCGAGAAAGGAAGAGAAGAAAAGAATTAAACAGTTTAAAACTTATAGGTCATCCCTGCAAAAATCCTTTCTTAATAAAACTTCTACTTCACAGCGGGCACTCGAAATTTCTCGACACGCTGGCTTTGTCATTTTGGCATTTAACATTTTACGTCAGTGAACCTCAGAGAATCCTCCGAGTACAAACATCCCACTGAGAGGGATGCCGGCGTTTTGTCCAGCAGGATTGCAGCATTTGTGGGGTTCCATATGGCAGTGATGCTGGGCTGTGTGGGTGGCACCATGCAGGCACTGGGACCGTGCTCAGGAGACTGGCGCTTCCAAGAAAGGAAGATGCACAGTCATGAAGGCGTGAAGGTCCCCCAGTTACTGTCCTTGCAGTAACTGTTACTCATGAACTGCCACTAAGTCAATAAATCTCACCTCTTTAGCATTTGCTGGCAAAGCTCACAGCTAAGAGTAGAATTTTCCACTAATTCCTTTCTGTTCAAGATAATGTGATGTTATTAAATGGCTCAATTCATGTCACTCTGCCATAATTAACGCATGTCCAATCTTATGGAAGAACATGAAAAGGACCACAAAAATGTGATCTTTTTAAAATCGTGCTGATGTATTCAGTACATGTGAGATTTGGTTACGTGTATATAATATGTAGTGATCAGGTCAGGGTACTGAGGATGTCCATCACTGAATACATTTTGTTAACTCTAGTCACCCTCCTCTGCTATCAGGCACCGAATTTATGCCTTCTATTAACTGCGTGTCGTACCCTTCAACCCATCTCCCTTTATCCTCTCCCTCCCCCTCCCTCTCCACTCTGGCACCTATCTTTCCACTCTCCATCTCCATGTGATCATATGTTTTAGCTCCCACAGATAATTGAGAATAAGCAATATCTGTATTGGTGCCTGGCTTATTTCACTTAAGATAATGACCCCCACTGCCATCCATGTTGCCACAAATGACAAGAGTTTATTCTTTTTTATGGCCATATAGTATTCCATTGTGTGCATACACCACATCTTCCTTACCCATTCGTCCATAGATGGACACTTGGATTGATTCCATATCTTTGCGGTTGTGAATCGTGCTGCAATAAGCACGGGGCTGCAGGTACAAAAACGAAACCATTTTCAGCAGTTTTGTTTACAGCCTCATGCTTTCGGTTCTCCAAAACCTGTATATGGCTGAAGAAAATGGTCTTTTTCTCCGTAAAGACTCTCTGACTTCGTTTCACTGCTGGTTTTGTTTCCTTTCTGTCCTAGCCTCCGGGTTCCTATGTCAGAGTGCCATCTTGCTACCATGTCGGATTTCCACTAGCATTGCTCTTGCAGCTGGGAAGTCTCGAGCCTTCTCCCTCTGGAAATCTCTAAAGTGTTCCCCTCAGGTCTTTCAGTAAAATATGAAAGCTTTGCAAGAAGAAAAACTGCACCTCTCTTTACTTCCAGTATGAGGGGCCTAAACTCTCCCAAAGAGCTCCTTTTTCTTTAACTCTTTGCTGTTTGAATTCTTTTTCTTTCCTCATTTTCCTTCTGACCCTACTCCCCACTAGAGACTGTCTTAAAACTTACTAACAATTGACTTTCATTTTTGCATTGCTGGCTTAATTTTAAACCAGTTACTCAGCAACTTTTATAAAATAGAGGAGAAAAAGAACTTCTTAAAGTCAGAAAACCCCTTTGAAAGTAAGTTAAGAGTCCAGGCACAGTGGCTCATGCCTGTAATCCAGCAATTTCGGAGGCCAAGGCAGGTGGATCACTTGAGGTCAGAAGGTCAAGACCAGCCTGGCCAACATGGTGAAACACCATCACTACTAAAAATACAAAAATTAACCAGGGGTGGTGGCACACACCGGTAATCCCAGCTACTCAGGAGGTTGAGGCAGGAGAATCCCTTGAATCCAGGAGGCAGATGTTGCAGTGAGCCGAGATGATACCACTGCACTCCAGCCTGGGTGACAGAGCAAGACTCCATCTCAGAAAGGAGGGAGGGAAGGAAGGAAGGAAGGGAGGGAGGGAGGGAGGGAGGGAGGGAGGGAGGGAGGGAGGGAGGGAGGGAAGGAGGGAAGGAAGGAGAGAAAGAAAGTTAACCAGACATGTAAAAAGCTTTATTTGAATCACCTGTGGCACGTGAAGAAAGTGCAGAACTGATGTTCTTCACCCAATAACGGTACTGAAGCAGACATTTCCCAGTGTAAGGACTTCACATGTGTGGCAAAGACAGCTGGAGGTTTAAATCCCAACATGGGCTCCTACACTGACTGCAGATCTTCCATGGCCGGCCCACAATGCACAGAGGCTTCGCTTTCTTAATATGGGGCAGACACAGTTCAAAGCCTTTTGGTTGTAAAATACCTGCCCCATATCCTCTTCTCTAACCAAATCCTCCAGAGATGGACTCTGGGCTAATAGCAATTCCCACGTGGCCAAAAACTCTCCCACTCAGAGCTCAATTTCCAGTGCCTTGGTATTATTTTCTAAGTCATCCAACCCTTTGGCCTGGATTGAAGCCCTGCCTGGTATCCTCTGTCTATGCCTGCTATTTTCTGAATGAGAATTTAGGGGATCCTTTGAGCTCCCAAAGCACGTGGACAACTCACAGGCACAGGCTGACCCATGTATTGCCAAAGGTGCACCTACAAATTCTTAACTTGCAAGCTCCGTGCCCTTCTCTACAGCAGAAATGTCGCTGCACTCAGTTCTTCCCTGTCCTGGCCCCCTGGCCTCCCTGCGCACACCTCCATCTGGCTCCAGCCTGACACAGTTGCCTAAATACTCTTATCTCTTATACCAGAGTCTGTCATATCCATAATTCATAATCTTGAACCCCTTCCTTCAAGTACAACAGCTTCTCTTGACTCATAACGTAGTAATGGAAAATTCATGTGGTGTTCAATAAACTTGTAGGTGTGTGCTTAAATGCACGTAGAGACTTCAAAGAAAAGTACATGAGGAGGAGGAGGAGGAGGAGGAGGATGAAACACAACGAGATATGAACTTGAGCCAGTCTTTACTCATAATTAATTCTCTAACATTTAGACTGCTTTGGTTACATTCCTAACACTGTTTCTAAAATCACAGCTGCTCAATATTGGAAGAATATGACTCATGGGAGCCTCTAGAATCATGGGATCACACCCAAGGTGCCATCCAGAGCACAGCCTGGCTCTCTTGAATAGAGTTTCAGTGCTGGGGACTCCACTCTCTTTGGAAGCTTCGCTAATTGCTAGAAAGTTGCTCTCTTAACAAAAGCCACCTCTCGTGCTGCTTCTATCAGTGGGCTCACCTACTCCTTCCCTCTTGCTTTGTACAGATTAAACTCTTTCCTCCTTTGGGTGACAGGCAGTTCAAAGATGGGCCAGCAGTCTCCTGGCATCCTCTGCCATAGTTCCTCTGCCCTGCTTGCGACCCTCCCACCACCCCAGAACCTTTTCCTCTCTAGATTGGTGTCTACAAACCCATGAGCATTCTGTGGCTGCTGGGGTGTGGGCTAAGGGCGCTGGCAGCAAATAAAGCAGTCATGGCTCTTCTACAGTCCTCATGGGACCTGGCTGTCAGACAGCTTCCACCAAGCTGACTGCAAAGGAAGGGAGACCTCCACACAGTGTTGCTGCCAGCAAGAAACTCCGAAAGCAGCCATCCTTTCTGTGACGGGCCATTTTGGTTCTGTGCTGGTCAACTGCGCTCCCCAGGGTCTTCTCTGTCTCAGCATACAAACCTTTCTCCTTCCAGTCGCTCAGGCTGGGAGCCTTGGAGTCACCTTTAACCTATCTCTTTCTCTCCCACCCACTTGTTTCCTCCTCAGATCCCATCAGCTGTTCTTTCAAAATCTCTCTGGTACCAAAACCCTTCCTCCACCTCCACCTCTCCTCCAAGTCATCTTCACCTCTCACCTGGATTCCTGCAGTTGCCTCCTATCTGGGCTTTTCAGCAAAACAGAGAGATCCTACTGACACAGGCACCAGATCAGGCCACCCTCTCCTGACCCCGGTCCCTTTCAGGGTGGAAGCTGATGTCCCCACCACGGCCTTTGAGGCCTTAAGAGTCTGACCTGCAATGTCTCCCTGACCTCGACCCCTTCCATCCGCCTCTCCCTGCAGCCCCGCTGGCCTCCTTCTGCCCCTCTAAGGTGGGGGCCCCAGCCCACAGCAGGACTGCACCTTCTCGCATCTGCTTCAGGTCTTTGCCTAAAGATCGTCTTCTCAGCAGGGCCTCCTTTCATCACCCTGCTCAAAATTGCAAACCAGCACTCGCCTTGGCCCACCTAGTGCTCCCGTCCACTCTCTTCCTGCATGAGTTCTCTCCATGACATGAGCATCTGACACACCACGCATAGTCACATATCCTAAGGATGGTCTGTCTCTCCCAGAGATGCTGTAAGCTCCACGGGGCAGGGGTTGGCTTGTCTTGTTCTCACTTTATCTGCAGTGTCCAGAACAGCACCCAGCACATAGAAGGTGCTCTGTAAATATTTGTTAAATGGTTCGTTACACTGTGGGTGACACGTCTAATACCTGACCTGTCCCCCTTGCAGGGAGAATACCAGGTTCTGCTAGAACTGTATACTGAAAAACGGTCGACCGTGGCCTGTGCCAATGCTACCATCATTTGCTCCTGACAATGGCCTGCAGCAAAAATCACAACCAGCTCCATCTTATGGGACCTCCAAGCCTCTCTGACTGAACCTACTGCATAGGGAGAAGCAGCTGATGACAGAGAGAGGCTCTACAAAGAAGCTCCCAAAGAGTGCAGTTGTTAATTTTAGTCCCAGGACCAGACATCCCCAGACTCCACAGATGTAATGAAGCCCCCAAATGTATCTCTTTCTAAGGAGCCTCTTGACAGTCCCTAAGCAGTCTCGAGTATCCATCCTTTTTCTCTAATGAATCACCTCACACCAGACTCACCTGCTTTTCAGCTCCTTAGGAATGCCTCCTCCCAATTACCAAGAATAAAGAAAGCTGGCCACCATTGTTCACTGTAGTCTGTTCAAAGAATCTTAGTACAACGCTGTAGTTAAAAAGTCATTTCCTGCCAGGCGAGATGGCTCACACCTGAAATCACAGCACTTTGGGAGGCCGAGGTGGGTGGGTCACGAGGTCAAGAGATCGAGACTATCCTGGACAACATGGTGAAGCCCTGTCTCTACTAAAAAATACAAAAATTAGCTGGGCGTGGTGGTGTGTGCCTGTAGTCTCAGCTACTAAGGAGGCTGAGGCAAGAGAATTTCTTGAACCCGGGAGGCAGAGGTTGCAGTGAGCCGAGATAGCACCACTGCACGCCAGCCTGGTGACAGAGCGAGACTCCATCTCAAAAAAAAAAGAAAAGAAAAAAGTCATTTCCTCCAGATACAGTGCTGGGTGCTGGTGCAGCACAAGCAGTTCCAAGAAATTCAGGAGGATGGCAGCCTGCCTAAAATTGGAGCACTGGGAAAACATGCCATTGCTTCTCCTGGGCAGGCCCCCACCCTTGAACCAGGAGGGCCAAGATGCTGATGCAACCTCACAAATAGGGACATCCAAATCTCACTTATCCAGACACTCATTTCACTTTCATCCCCCAAAGCATGATTATACCTGACCTCAGCACACAATGGCTCTCATTACTGCATTCACTAATTAATGCAAGGAATAACTACTGAACACTTTTTTTTTTGAGATGGAATTTTGCTCTTGTTGCTCAGACTGAAGTGCAATGGCGTGATCTTGGCTCATCACAACCTCCACCTCCCGGGTTCAAGCAATTCTCCTGCCTCAGCCTCCCCCGTAGCTGGGATTACAGGCATGTGCCACCACACCCAGCTAATTTTGTATTTTTAGTAGAGATGGGGTTTCTTCATGTTGGTCAGCCTGGTCTTGAACTCCCAACCTCAGATGATCCACCCACCTGGGCCTCTCAAAGTGCTGGGATTACAGGTGTCAGCCACCGCACCCAGCCAAGAACACTAAATGTGTATCAGGCACTGTGTTCGTAGGATGTCTTCTTCAATGCTCTCCATAAGTGAGCATGTTGCCCATCCTACCACCAGAGCCATTTCTGCAGCCCTGTCTTCTCTCCTAGGATGCATCAATTGCATGAAGGGCTCCACAGTCCCTTCACCATCCAATGCCCCTCTCCTTCCAGTGTCCTTGCTGGCCCTCTTGCTCCTGCTAAGGGGCTGGAGTAAGATGGGTGAATTGACGCTATCATTCATTAAAGTGTCACTATATTAGAGATTAAAAGAGGAAAAATTCCATAGTTTAAAAACCAACAGTTGCTATTAATCACTACTTGTACATAATTAAAACACCTAGAAGAGCAGTTCATAAATGCCTGGCGAATGAGAACTTTAAAACGAGCATCTGGGGTTTTCTGGGTTATGAAGAGAAAAAATTACAGCAATGTCCTCCCCTAGGCTCATAATGCTTGAGAGAAAAGACATGTGTGGCCATGCCAGGATCAGGAGCCAATCTCTGAATGGACATAGGGGTGATAGTGTTATCCACAAGAACAGCAACTTCCGCCTCCCGGGTTCAAACAATTCTTCTGCCTCAGACTCCCGAGTAGCTGGGATTACAGGCATATGACACCACACCCAGCTAATTTTGTATCTTTTGTAGAGATGGGGTTTCTCCATGTTGATCAGGCTGGTCTTGAACTCTGCCTACCTCGGCCTCTTAAAGTGCTGAGATTACAAGTGTGAGCCACTGCGCGCGGCCAAGAACATTTAATGTGTAAAGGTCCCCTGGCCATTCCCTCTAGCTTGAGACATTCACCCCAGGCCCTTTTCAGTAACTGTCACTATGGGTAGGAAAGGCCCTGGCTAGACTCTGTGTACGCACATGTTCTAACAGTACAAGACAGCTGTCACAGCCTTCCAAAGACACAAGCAGAACTCAGCCAGTCCCTTCCCAATCCCTTTGCCCTCTTCTTCAAATTGGCTGCATGGGTACATATGCATGAGAGAGAGAGGGAGGGAGAGAGAAAGTTTCAGATGCTAGAGGTTTGTATTAAACTGCAATTTCCATATATGGAGACGATCCTAGTCATAGCTGAATATACAAGTACACAGCAGTTTCAGTAAGGGCATGATTTGAGAGAAAATTAAAAAAAAAAAAGTTTATTTGTCCCAGAATACATCTTTTCTTAGTGTCCTGTCATGGGCTTAAATTTCACCATTAGTTTCATTCCAGCAAGTTGAGAACATTTTTCAATGTCCAGGAGTCTCCTCTTGGAATCTGAACAGCCCTGGTAGAGAAATGTTGGAGTCTTTGTCACTATTTAACTCTCTGGCAGGATGGAGTAACTGAGATGACTCTGAAAGTGCCAGTCCAGGAAGCAGGGGTGTCGGCGGAGGTGAGTGACCCCAAGCGGAGCTCTCTCGGGCTAGCCCTTGCATGGTGCCTGGGGCGTAATCAAAGTGCTGGGACAATCTACCAAAGAAACTAAATTGACTTCTCCTGTAAAGAGAATTGCTACTGTTTCAAAAATCACTATCAAGAACTCCAAAAATGTGTCCTCAATAAAGTTTTCTGAAGAAGAAGAAAACACAGTTTGGTTCAGGATAATCCAGCGCCACCACAATTAAGGAACTGCTGTGCAAATCAGCCAGCTTCAGACGTTTGAGCGCCCACCGACCCTTCTTTGTATTTTGAGGGCAATTTCAATTGCTATGTATAGAACGTTTTTAAAAATATTTTTCAGGGACATTCCAGTGCCCAAGGGAAGCTTTGTGAGGCTAGAGTCTAGGCAGAATGCTGAAAAGCCCCTCTGGACAGTGTGATCACATCTCTTAGAGTGTTTTGGCTATGAGGAACAGAGAACTCAGCTGAACTGGCTAATGCGGAGGGGGCTCGGTTGTCTCCCATGACTGCTGGGTCCCAAGGTGGTTTAGCCGTCGACCAAAGTTTGCTGCTGAGGTTCATGCATTATCAGCCTTTCACCTCCATTTCTCCACAGTTCGTCCACCTCGGGGCTCCCGGAATACTGGCTTTAACCACAGGCAGTCTGTCCCACAATAACAAATCTTTTCAGTAGCTGAAGACCTCACATCCACACTATCCATAGTACAGCAGGCAAGAGACACCTTTATCCTAAAACCCTGTCGTTCATTCTGATTAGAATGGCTTGGGTCACATGACCTCTCCCCGTAACCACATCAGACCTATCTAGTTTAACTTTTATGTAATAAAGTTGTGAGTTGTTTTTCCGTTGCCGTGGACCCCCAGGTTGAAGGTTATGTAACCTGAACCTGCCCAAATGTGCGACCACAGGGGGAATCTAAGTGCAAGACTAAGGAGTGGGAACTTAAGAAATAAACACAGCATGTCAGGATCCAAGATCCAATCATATCAGGTTCCAGCATCACCCCATGGCATGATCCAATCAGATCATGCCTCCCAGCATCCCCTCATTGCAAATCCAATCAGATCATGCCTCCCAGCATCCCCTCATTGCAAATCCAATCAGATCATGCCTCCCAGCATCCCCTTATTGCAAATCCAATCAGATCATGCCTTATGACCCCATGCTTATAAAACTTGACCTAAACTCCTACTTGCAGAGACAGGTTGGAGTGTTTCCTCCTGTCTCCTTGCCAGGTTGACCTGCAGTAAACCTTTTCTTTCCTTAAAAGGCAGTGCTATGGTATTGGCTGCCATGCACATTAGTCAGCAAGCCCCTTGCTTGCTCAGTAACATCCTGACCGACCACTTTGGCCCTGCCCTGATTGGCTTAACCTATGTCACATGCCTCACCCCAAGAGCTGGATCAGAGTTATTCCCACTGGAACCACACGTGTTTCTAAGTGGAAACTGGGGGAGTTGCAAAGAGGTGAAGGGAGAGGAAGGGCGCATGGAGTCCAGAGCATGACTCGAATTAGGCCAGTTGTTCTAATTCTCCCCTAGTGTTCACTGGGCAAGTGACTTTTATTGTCTAAGCCCCAGTTTCCTCATCTGTAAGCACTGACTATAGTAATAGGACCTATCTTGTAGAGACACTGTGAGAATTAATGAGAGAATGCATGTAAAATGCCAAGAAGAGGACCTGGCTTGTCACTCAATAAAAATGAGTCATTATTATGTTAAGGTGGGTGTTCACCTGTGGTGCCTCCTTTCAGGCGTTCACCTGAAAGCCTCCTTTCCTAATTTATCTCTCTCACCCTCCTATTCATCAGGGTAAATAATCCTAGAAGCCCAGTCCTCACCCATAAGCCCACATTCCCTTCTAGGTCCTGAGATGCACTCTTGGCATCTTGATTTCTTCTAAGTGTAGCTAGTTTTATTAGACCTGGAGTGGGGGCACGTTTCCTGAGTCCTGAACTCTGAAAAGAATTTAAGGGAAACATTTGGGTACACATATCCGTCCCCGCAAACAGAAACAATATAACCAGGCCAAAAGGGCCTATGAAAGAAAATGTAAGCCAACTGTGGTTGCTCACGCCTGTAATTCCAGCACTTTGGGAGGCCGAGGCGGGTAAATCACCTGAGGTCAGGAGTTCAAGACCAGCCTGGACAAGATGGTGAAATCCTGTCTCTACTAAAAATACAAAAATCAACTTGGCGTGGTGGCACATGCCTATTAATCCCAGCTACTCTGGAGGCTGAGGCAGAAGAATCACTTGAACGCTGGAGGCAGAGGCTGCAGTGAGCCAAGTTCATGCCATTACACTCCAGCCTGGGCAACAGAGCAAGACTCTGTCTCAAAAAGTAAAGAAAAGAAAAGAAAATATGTGTATTTTTAAATTAAACTTGTTTCCTGCACACGAAGACACCCACCCAAGATGTGAAGAACTAAATGTGACATCTGCAAATGTAACAATTACATCTGCCTTCAGGAAAAATAACCCAAAATAGCTAGCGCGAGAACAGAAAGGGCCACATCCTGATTATAACCCAGACTTGTTAAGGTGGGGGAGTGTATTGTCTCAACAGTTCAACTCTAGGTTTGAATTGGCTGCATTTTTCTCAATCAGCAAAACAAGTTAGTCCATC